ATTTTACTAACGTCGGTCATCTCCTCTGCTATTGATGAAGTCTTCCTCTCAAATAGTGACCTTGTCAAGTATTTGATTTATTTTTTCGGTCCACAAAAACATTTTCCAGTTCTTATCCGGGCTGTCTTATTGCAGCCCACGCATGATATGTTTCTAATTAATTCAACTAATGTATTAATATTACAGCTATTAAATATAGTGGGTAGCGCAATGTTTATCTATGCACCGTTATTTATAATAATAATAATCATATTATACTATGGAAAATGCATGTTATCCTTATCTCAAATATTAATCATAATTTAACTATTGTAATGTAATCAACATTGACAAGCAAAGTTATACAGTAGGGTAGATTAAGATTCATGAATTCAATTTTCAAGTATCAAATTATGAATACAACGTAGAATTGGTGTTGCTTCCCTTCCATAGAATAAACCCCGTAGTTTCCTAATTAGGAGCTTATTAAGATAATATACCATATTTTACTGTTTAGGTATTTTCATAGGTGACAAAGTGCATCGGTAGTGACCTAATTAACTGAAATTGGACGATTCATCAAGAATAGTTTTCACTAAAAATCAGTGTTTGTCAAATTATTAGCATTTTTGAAATAGCTGTATAGGTTTTGAACGTTAAACTCAGTCAATGAATTGTGAAGAGTTTGCCGCTTCCGCTTGAATGTTCGATGAGAATGTTGACCGGCGTAGACGACCCTCCGGACGCTCAGCCTTTTCATTTCAATACCGCGATCGCGAGCCAACGCATTCGAGCGGGTCCAGCCGCGCGCTTTCTGCTCGGGCGGGGAACCTACGACAACATTCATCAAACATTCAACTCTTTCCCGCGAACACCTGGCGATCTATTCGAAACGAAATGTCCAAATTCCGTAGATGAGGTCGTCCGTCCGTCCGTCGTCGACAACAGACGAGTTATAAAGAGTTCGGTGTTTGGTGTGTTGTAGGGTCGCCCGTGTGGAAACCGCGCGACGTGTTGAGCGAAGGCGCCGCGGCCAGCACGCTCCCGCGCCCGCAGCGCCCCGCCCCGCGCGCCCCTCACCTCTCCGCCAGCCGCAAGTCGCTCGCCCCCGACCACCGCCACTAGGCGCCCGCCGCCGCCACCGATCGTTTGAACGCGGTCAGTCTCTGCATTTTACATCGAACTTCTAGCATATTCCGCGATGGTTCCCGCGCCCCTCGTTGCTAGCGCGCTCACTGATGACGAACGGTGATTGTTTCGATAAAAACATCGTTGAGCCACGCCCATTTGGATTTGTCTGATACTCATTATCGTGATTAAATAGCTCGGCACTAGCTGCTGATTCCGCACTGACATCTCTACCTGGGCTCACTATGGAAAATTGAAACGCCAACATCTATAATTATCTACAATAGGACGCAGTTTTATATGAAATCAAGAAATATTTTCTTTCTTTGCTAATATTTTTTAGGCAAATTTTCTATTTTAATTGTATGTAATAAATATTTGAAGCACCTATTGTTAGAGATGTATGAAACGGGATTTGTGTTTTAATTCGTACTTCGTTGTTTTTGTATTGTTTTAGTTAAATCACAAATAAATAAAAAATATGATAGTAAATATTAGGTTTAATATCATGTAAGCATATTGGATCATTCACCAAATGATGACATCAGTCTACACTTTTCGTACTCTCAATCAAATTATGCACATAACAAGAGTGAAGTATGTAATTTTATTGTTATTACTAAATTAATTGATAATTTATTTAGAACAATAAATTTTTCTTTAAGACGGTTAGTCCTGTTAATTTTTGCAAGACATGTCTCGATCAATGCGTGCGCTATCATATTATATAACGAAACAGGTGGCGATCAACACCTGTTTCGTTATGTAATATGGTAAATTAATCGATATTTCGGATAAAAAATCTGATTAAATAAAATTGAAGCTCAAATTAATAGAAATCAGTGAGCAACCTTAGTTAAACAATATGTAACTTTATCATCAAACAGTGATTAATGGCTGTGTTAAATAAAAAGTAAAAATAATCATAAATATTACAGCTATGTTAACAAAAAAAAATATCTTATATACAATAGACAAATAGTTGAATATTAGATCGAATAGCACTAAGCTTTGTGTTCGACGCCCATAACAAAGATACACAAGATGACTTTGTATCACTTTTTCGTATAACTCAATAGAAGATATTTGTATAAAACGTTTCCCCTTCGGAGCTCTGTGCCAAATCTATCTACTATATAATTCCTTCGCTTAATATAATAAATGATCGGCGCGTCTCCCGATAGGCATGTCGTGGAGTAGTGACGCGCGACTGTGATGAGTGACTGTGACGCATCACTGTGACGCGCCACTGTAACGCGTCACTGTGACGCGCCATTGTGACGCGGACTGACGCGCCATTGTGACGCGGACTGACGCGCCATTGTGACGCGGACTGACGCGCCACAGTGACGGGCGGCGGTGACAATCGATCACAGCGTCGAAGCCGCACTCGCATAGTTTGGAATGCACTCACTATGTAGTTTCGGTAAATTGTTTCTCGTCGCGAGTTCCACTTCGAAAGGTTTATCATAGGCTAGGTAAATGACACTCGAAATTTACCTCTTTGATTTTTTATAGTTTTATCGAATAAAAATATATCTATTCATGTGTTGTTGTTACGTTGATAATAAAATAGATGAATAATGTTAATGTTTTTTCTTAATGTTGCATAAAACATTATTGTGAACGGCGTGAGTCATTATTTAAAATATTTTATGTTTTCGTTGATGCAGTTGATTGTGACGTTCTTCTTGTATTTTGTCAGTCATTGCGTTCACTTGAATCTTCAGAATGTTTTATTTAAATGTTTAACATCAACCAAAATTGTTCCTTAAGTTTATTGAAACAAATGTTATATTGGCACATATCATCAGTTACCATCGTTTTCACGTCGTTCGAGTTGTCTCTGTTGAATCCTAATAATCTTAACGTTTTTTCAATAATTTACAGTTATCTATTAAATAATGTAATTATGTATTTATAGTACTACAATAATGTAATAGATGTGTTGAGAATCGTGACTACAGTTTATGTTATCAGTGAAATAGAAATTAATTTCAATTATTTTATTGAACGAAATAAAAATCTGTTTATTAATATACATATGTTAAATTAAAATATTCGAATTTAATAATTATGAACTTATACACCCCTTATAGATAATGTTATACTAAGAAATTATAATTAATGAAATGAATATAACAAATTCGTGTGAAGATTGAAATGGAGAGTGCGCTCATTCTTGGCGAACGACATTTCGTACTTCAATGACGTTGAAATAAAACGTAGGGAAATGAATGAATATTTAGAAAGACTTATTGAATAAATACGAAAATAATTAACTTTATGTATCGTAAGTATTACACTTTTGATTTACGTCGCATTCATTCACTTTAATTATAAAATTGTCTTAAACGTTATTTGTTTTTTAAATTAAATACTGTCTTACCAAAGAAAGCATGGTCGGACTGCTTCACATTATTTGAACGGATTTCACAATAAGATTTGAAACACTTTCATACACTACACAGTTCATATCTCAAAAAAAATAGACACATTGCGTTTTACAAACCTGACAAAAGTACTCCAACGGACAATCCGATAAGTTTCATTTAAAATTTTATTTTCATATCCACCAAACGTAAGTAAACTCAATATTATTAATAATTATGAACGTACTGAAATCCTATTAATTAAACCTTTGCATTATTATATACCTCTTCGTTACCGATGACTGTTTCTTTAAAACCTAAATTAAAAGTGCCTTCATGTTTTAGTATGTAGTGTATCGAAGTGTTATTATTGGTAAAAGTAGAATTGACTTGCGAAGCAGTCTGTCGGTGGACGTTATAGCACGTATAATTGTTTTGCGTTGAGTTCATTGTCACTTCCAACGACGACGATATAATTTTTATCCTTATTGCTATTTATTACAATAAATTTTATGTAATTCATAAATACGATTCGTTTGTTACACGTATGGGAATTAATTTTTATTGCTTATAAAATAAAATAAAATAAAACCATAACTATTAATATGTTGTTTTTATTTTGTTCCGGTGCAAATTCCTTTTTTAAACCTTAAGTCTTTTTATTTCTCAATACTCGAAGTCTAGATTTAAATCGTGATTGGTGTCTATGGGCTCCAGAAACCGCTGAGAACTCATCCAACGGACCAACTACAACGAACGTAATAACATTTTTTTTACTTCATGTAAAGTGTTATGTTACATAAAGTAAAAAAATGTTTTCTTCAGTGTTCGAGTTTTCTTCAAACTTCAGTGATTTCCAAAATTCAAGAAAAAAATAAATATGATTAAACCGAAACTTTAACGTTAGTACGTAAACACGACAATAGTTTTATTTATTTATTGCTTAGATGGGTGGACGAGCTCACAGCCCACCTGGTGTTAAGTGGCTACTGGAGCCCATAGACATCTACAACGTAAATGCGCCACACACCTTGAGATATAAGTTCTAAGGTCTCAGTATAGTTACAACGGCTGCCCCACCCTTCAAACCGAAACGCATTACTGCTTCACGGCAGAAATAGGCAGAGTATCTACCCGCGCGGACTCACAAGAGATCCTACGGTTTATTGGCCCTGTTTATGGCAAAAGATCATTTAAAAAGAGATTTGGTAAGCGCTTTAAAATTTAATCAAAAAATATAATATTAAATATCGATATAACTTTTTTACAGTAATTATATTGATCTTTTTCTCGTCAATAAATCTTAAGTTACCTTATAAAATAAATATGCCACGATAAAGAATAATTTTATGAGTGGATATAATGTATTTTTCATACTTTTCTATCAACAAATTTTTCAAGAAATTTTGGGCCTAAGCCTTTATTAAGCCAGAAACAAGGTGAAGGAAAAAGTCGCTACTCTTAAGTGGTAAATTGTGGTATGTAGCAGTTCAGAAATGAAAATAATAGTTTATTAGGTACCATGTATTTAATTAAATCGTACATTCATTTGAATAAACCAAACATTTCAGTGTTTCGGATTCAAATCTTACAATTTGCTAATAAGACAGTTTCTCTAGATTGATATGAGTGAAACATTCAAAATATATTATGTATTTACAGGTTTACTAATAATTAATTAATTAGAACTAGATAGGTACATAATAAGTTTCAATTAGTTAATTTAATAATTTATCGGTTCAACAATTTTAATTAATAACTTATACACTAAATTTTGTTGGCCAAATATTTATTTAACAAATCTAAATTGGGAACTCATTTCTAGAAAAAAAAAAAACTATTCACTCATAGTACATTCATTAATTTTAAAGAGAACAATCCTCTTAACTTATACTAAAATATAAGAGAATAGTGGCCAGATGCCCACTATTTAAAAAACGCTCGATTTTTCGCTTACATAAAATCTACAAATTCATTATTACGATAATGAAGATAATAAAATTGCTTAAAAGAGATAAAGTTTAAAAAATTGGAAAAATTATCTTCACATTGATTGCCGTGGAACAATTTACTTATTGTTTTTTGTTTCGATTACTGAGTGGTAGACAAATAATAGGAGGGTTATTTCGGGAAGCTCTATATGTGAACACCTAAATTGTTTATGTAAATATTAATTATGGATATTCATCCGTCTACAGTAAAATTTATTACCATCATAATACTATAACAATAGTTCTATCTAATTAGATGTATATTGTATATACATAATTATGTGGCACAGACTACATTTGTTATGTATTACCAACATCGACAAACATACTCAAATGCAGTAAATTTACATATTATGGAATTCTTCTTAAGTTTTACTTTTCTTTCTATAAAAAAAACATATAACATAAAGTTATTTCTTACAACACAATTTCAAACTTGCTCAATTTAGTAGGTACATTCATTTACCCAATGGACATTTAATTTCGAAAAATGTGATATTGATTTCCAAATATCAATTAATAGTGCATATACGTAATTAACACATTGATAAAGCGATGTATATCTTATTTTCATTTATATATTTTTTTAATATAGACATAATCATGATTAAATTACCTTCGTTCTAATCATTACCGTACCTAAACAATGAATTTCATTGAAAAGAGTTTTCAATTATGCTACAATTATATGGTGTTTCATTGAATTATACTAGAATAAAATTCATCCATCCTAATTTCATATCATATTAAATACGTAAGGCACTCCAATTTTTTTGCTGGCTTTTCGAAAGAAGCTGTAAATATAGATGCATGATAGTTCTTTTCTATATTAAAACGAAGACGACTGGAAGTTATTGTTATTATTGCACCGCTTTATTTTAATAGCAAAAAATGTTCAATCTGCTCTATCAGACCATAAACGTGAGAGTGGTGTATCAAAATGTTCATTGGAAATAAATATCAAAAATTATTCAAGGGTGTGCTCCAAACTAGAAATATTGAAACAAGTGCATTGTGAAGTAGGCATCTGAGATAATCTTTTTAATCAGATTTAATTTATCTACTTATTTGTACTTTAACATCATATTTTCAAAATTCAATCAAATATATTTTATTTTACTATAGAATTATTATTTCGACAAGGCCATTTTCATATTTGTCGTATTAGGTATAAGTTCTCAAAGCTCAATTACAACCCAAAATAATAAAAATTCATGTACCTTTCTATCTTAAGACGTAACATACAAGAAACGCAGTAAATAAACATATTTCGTGTTTATTTTCAGTTTGTAAAATATTCTTGGAAAAGAAAAGGGTCATATATTTGATAAATCTGTTAAAGGTTCCACACCCTTTATCCAAGTTTTTATGTTAATTGTAACAAACAATTAAAATCATCATTTATACTGTTGGACCCTAAATTTTATATTAAAAAGCATTTTTATCAATAAGTAATCTCTTTAAAATGTTTATCAAATTTAACTATCTAACACCTACTTACATGACTGTCTCAATTAGTTCCTGAAAATTTTCGAATGTTAATATTATTATCGATATATTTTAGTATTGCGCGGCACCTCTTACCCCATTATGCACTCAATGACGTAGACATGAAAGTTTAATTGTCGCTTTGAGCGAAAAGTCTCCCTCTGTACTGAAAAATGGTAATGAAAGTATCATAGCGCTTCCAAGGTATTTCTTGTGTTCACAAATCAGCTTGTTATATTGTACAACTATAGTTTCCCCAAAATGTATGTTGTTTGTTTANTTTTAGTATTGCGCGGCACCTCTTACCCCATTATGCACTCAATGACGTAGACATGAAAGTTTAATTGTCGCTTTGAGCGAAAAGTCTCCCTCTGTACTGAAAAATGGTAATGAAAGTATCATAGCGCTTCCAAGGTATTTCTTGTGTTCACAAATCAGCTTGTTATATTGTACAACTATAGTTTCCCCAAAATGTATGTTGTTTGTTTACATTACTTTTAGAACTTTTCCACTATATTCGTGCTGGTATATTATTCTAAATGTAAAAAAAATGTGTTTTCTTCTGTTTTCTTGAGTCCGTATATATAAAAGTACTTTAAGTTTTAATTTGACGTTTTTTATTGTCATTATATTAGTTCCCAGTCCATAGGTCTTCCGTGACCACGAAAACTGTAAGATAGATAATATTGTGGTATTCAAAACGTCGGAAATAATACGATGACAATAAAAAAACGTGAGATTAAACCTTAAAAGTAGTTTTGGTTAAGCAAAAACCGACCTTTATGCATTCGAATATGTGAGAGAATCGTGTATAATTTTCTAAACGTTGGTCCCTATAATTGCTATTGGATTTTCGCTAGATATCAATTTGCAATCAGAGAAGGGCGGAGTGCCGCGCGATTTCCGGTAGGTATTTCCGAATAAAGGCACATTGAGTCATGATTTACTATGTTAAACTAACATTATAATATTATATTATGCAGTACTTAGCACTTCTCTTTAACGTCCCCAACGATTTTTGTTATCATTAATTCAACCTAAAACTAGTTAAAGGGAATTCTTAAATATTTTTTTCTACTTTTATATTATGAATTATAAATAGGCATGTATTAACTTAGATACGTCACACCACTATTAGATTGATCATTTCTTGTAAAATTCATTAGCTCCCATCTTTAAAACCTATTCCGAAACCTTCCTCCCTACATTTTTTGGCAACAACGTGGTGGAACTAAAATTGTCTAATTAACTAACGGGCAAATATTTCTAAAATTTAGCTAGGACGAAGACGACGATTTAATAATTTTCTTCACATTTAATCTCGCGTGAGGTTGGTTGAGAAGACCAGTGGGGCTCCAGCGGACCATCCCACTCTTGAAATGAATCGTAAGAAAAGTTATCACCGGGAACATCGTCCAGTGCGATTTCAGCACGACTAAATGCCTCGGCAAACTTTCCTATTTCGGTGGAGCCAAATGCTTGTTGAAATGCCGGTAATGGTACCAGCGGTGGACGTTTCTCTTCTGGGGGAGATCGCCTTGTTTCAGTGTGCAAACGTTCGCGTTCTGACCGAACCATTTCTGCACGCGTCTCAGACACGGTGTAGTCTGTTGAGTTTCCATGTCTAGCACCGCTTTCTCCATTAAACGAAGAGTCGCCATACATATGATAAGGCGTCGCCGATCGACCATCCTGGGATAAGTAGTTTTGAACATTCATATGAGGACCCTGAAAAATCGAATAAACGACATTGTAAATTTTACTTAAATTTGATAGTATATATTTTCTACATAAATCCATTGTACGAATAAGATATGCGATATGCATCACTTTAGAAACAAATACGTACTGCCTATTATTACAAACATTTATATTGATTTTAATCTTTAACCGCGTTTATTTATTTCGGTATTCGAATAAAGAGTTAATCTATTATATTTTATATACAACGGAAATCTTGTCGAAAACACAACATTAAAACTTTTTTTTTTATTGCTTAGATGGTTGGACAAACTCACGGCCCACCTGATGTTAGGTGGTTACCGGCGCCCGTAGACATCTACAATGTAAATGCCGCACCTACCTTGAGATATAAGTTCTAAGGTCTCAGTATATAATAATATAGTTGCAACGGCCGCCTTACCCTTCAAACCGAAAAGCATTACTGCTTCACGGCAGAAATAGGCAGGGTGGTGGTACCTATCAATGCGGACTCACAAGAGGTCCTACCACCAGTAATTACGCAAATTATAATTTTGCGGGTTTGATTTTTATTACACGATGTTATTCCTTCACCGTGGAAGTCAATAGTGAACATTTGTTAATTACGTATTTCATTAGAAAAATTGTTACCCGCCAGCGGGATTCGAACACTGGTGTATCTCAAGATACGAATGCATCGGACGTCTTATCCTTTAGGCCTTTAGGTAGTTAGGTTTTAGTCGTAGTATATTATAAGACACACTTTTATAATATTAAAAACTAATTGGGAATATCTATGAAAATCATGTTAATCAACAACTAATGCGAACTATTAGCCTTTAAGGGTCACCTTAACTGGCCTGCAGTCTGGTGTATAGCGCATGACGTCACGCGAACATGATCCTCGAGATGGCCACAGTCCTCCGTTAACTGCACTAGCGCCGTTCCACCCTCCAGCACTGAAGCCAGTCTACCAAATTTAATCAAAACAAACATTAATATAAACACGTACTCTAAAAATAAATAATAGTTTAAAAAAACAACAAAAAAAACGCTTTTATAGAAAATCCAACTAAAAAATAGAAAATAAATTTCAATTAAAAATAGTGTAAGAAAAAAAGATTTTATTGTAAAAAAGCGTGGGGTGCATGATATCAGTAGTTATAAATAAATATGTTTAGTTTTCTTAAACTATTATTTATTTCTCATTTTTAGTTGAATTTCAAACTTTTCATTTTTTTCTTTAAATATTTAATTGTCATCGGTCCTTAATAAGTATTCCAAATTTCGAGTTAATCCGACGATTTAAAGGGGGTCAAAATCATGATCAAAGATTCCATTACATACTAACACAGGTACATACGTCTGAAGCTAATAAAAACAAAGACTTTGGAACTCATGTCTCAAGGTGGATGGCGGCTTTTAAGTAGTTGGTTTATTTTGGCTCCGGTAACCACTCAACACCAAATGGACTGTGAGCTCGCCCACCCATCTAAGCAATAAATAAAAATAAAAAAGAACGGTGAGCTATAAATTTCACTAACCTGATATGGAGTCCACATATGCGGTTCGCAATATGCGGAACCTCGGTTGTTCATACCGCATTCTGAAGAGGGCTGTAAATATAAAATGCATTTGAATTGAATTGAAGGTTCACCTGACGTTTGGACCGTACGTCCTATTTACAAAATAAATATACTAGAATCATAATTTCAGTAAGGGTCATAGATCTATTTAAAAAAAAAACTGTTAGAAATTTTATTAGTTAATTGAAATAAAGACATGAAAACATTCTCGCAACATCTAGGGGTCGAGCTTGATTTTCTAAGTGAATAGAGATTTAGTGAGTTCAAAGCTTAGAGGGTATATAATAATAGACGAAATATCAGACCCCCCAGCTTAAAGTGATCATCGAAGCCCACAGACTGCTGTAAAATATTTGATTTGTCCAGTGGCTACATCGATTGCCAGTTAAAATCAGTAGTTTCTTAAAATATTTGGCATACGTCTACTGACTGTAAATGTTCTTGTCTCGAACGTCTGTGAGTTTGATAGCTCTATTAGAAAGGAAAATACCACGACTTAAGGTCGTTGAATGTCTACTATTTATTCACAGACGTTTTACAACGTTAACGACGGCATCTCCCATGAGACATAAGTTCAGTCTCTATAGCATTTTAAACCACTTACACCTTACTTACACTTATACTATACCATTACAAAAAGGAATCTTTTATTGGTTCGTAGCAAAAATAGGCAGGGTTGTGGCACTACTTGTGTAGCCTACGAATGCCCTATAGTAATTTATTTTATTTCGTAGCTGGATGGCTTAATGAGCCTCTGGTCATCACAACGTGTGTGCTGAGTGCTGCCCACTTTGCGACATGAGGTCTAAATCTCAAATTGATCGTACTTAATTGGTTTTGTTTGTTTTGATCCTTTGTGATTATAACATTCGACCAATGGTGTTATATTAGTAAAATTATTGCATTAAAGAATACAGAATAGCATCTGTCTTACAAAATATATAGATAGTGATAAAAGTTCAATACGAAAATAAAAATAAAATTGATTTGTTACAAAATTACTCAGACGGAGTCTTTTTAATAATTTATCTACGCTTATATTTAATTATCAGGGTATTTAAATTGCTTAAGAGTAATATATATCAAGATTTTGGAAAGTTCTGAGCGAGATAATGTTTAGCGTAGCGAGGAGCGGGTGAAACTCAGAGCGCTCCCTCCCCCGCCGGCGATCGATGTCTGTAACTCCCCTTGCACTATTGCATTGCACCAACTGCATACTACAACATGCTAACATAAGACAACTGAACATTTTTTAAATATTGTTCACGATTTTAATAGAACTGCCCTTTATGACAAGAGTTTTTTTAGTATATCAACAAGAATATTTAATAAACTACCTATAAAAATTTTGAAGACGGTAGATTTACAAGATTTTAAGCGAAAATTGCAAGTATTTTTATTAGATAAGGCTTACTATACTATGTCAGAATATTTAGACGATAACATTAGATAATTTAGATGATAAAGTAGAATAGAGTTAAATAATTATAATTTAAGTTTAATACTTTTATGTAGATTATACTTACAACTAATATTTGTACGCTTTACTTTACATTATTAATATTAACCTATTAACCTTTATTAAACACAAATAATAATAAAAAAAATAAAAACGATATTCCAGTTGATTTTTTTAAGCGATTTCATGATCAGAAACGCGACCTGTGTATTTATGGTTGTTTTCATGAATGTTTACTTTACCAGAACGAATGACGAAAAGTTTTTAAGTATGCAAATAAATGAAAGTTACAAATGTTTTAAAATTCGTAGTGCGATGGCGCTACGATTGCTACGCCGGCGCCTTCGTAGCTACAGCACATTGTAACTTTTTAAAAGTTTTATACGTGGTTTTTTAAAGTTTCGCTAACGTAAATACAATTTTTTACAATATTATTACAATACTTTTTGTCAAATTGTATTAAATCTAATATTAAGTTGAGGACATAACCGCGCTTATGAATAAACATAGTAAAAGAAAAATACTTTAAAAAAAAAAACATCAAATGTCATCGGGCTTGTTAAAGCGCGAACAATTTGTAATAACGAATACTTCACTCGGATGGTAGCTGGGTGTAGTAGCGAGAAATCTGCAAAGGCTACTAACTATCGAGCGGCTAGGGCAAGCGCGCGAGGACCACGTGACTTATCGATCAGCGCGGCGCCCACGACACTCGGAAAAATCAACCGCTGACAGCTTTCATAGGCCACCTCCACCTCTCGGGCACACCCGCACGCCCTGCGCCATCCCCGCCCTCATTAGCGCCTTTGTGACGCTCACTTGTCTCGTAATATGACGCCGTAATGATACCACTTTCGACCGGATTATTTGTTAATGCTTGCTTTTGTTAAATACCTCACTCATCTAACGTGTTTACGTCGAGTGCGACACTGCTAACTTTGTTTACATTGTTATTTAAAAAAACTTATTTACATGAGTGTTTCATGAATGGAAAAAAATCACGTTCATTTGATTTGAAATAAATAAATAAAATGTACGGTAATATTACGAATAACAAGTATGATGTTTCTCATTTAACAATTGAACAAAAAATACTTTATGTAAAATGTTTTAGTTAAAGTTACAGTTCATTGCACTGATAAGAATTCATTTGAATTTGTTTTGTAAACGATATCTGATTTCGAATGAAAACGTGGCTCACAAAGAGTTCAAATGTTCTAACGTTTACGAATCGTTCACTCGATAAATGTTTTGAATTTCTCGTATTTTCTATATACAATGAAATAAAAGCTTTATGCGGAGTACCATAAGGAAGAGACTTGAAAATTGTGTGTTTAAGGAATGATAAGGCAAGCAGAAATTCCTCGGTCCTTTGACACTGACCTACATAATTTTAACTGATCTTTTCGTATTGCGATAGCTTATTCATGATGGAATAAAAGTTGTGGATTTTCTATTGAAGATTTCATATAATGTCGAGTCATTGACAACTTTCGAAATAGATTTTCACTAATCTTAAGCTAAGTAACTTTAAGGACATTTTATTTGTCAAGATTTTTTTCTTCGAAAAGTTTTTATATTAATTTCACTAAGATGAGACTATCGTTCTAGTTAAATCGTTCAGCATTTATTCGGTCGTTTGCATACGATTATCCACGTCCCGTTTGCTTAGCAACTTTATTATTTTCTGTAAATTAATGGATTGTCTTTTTATGGGAGCACTCTGTATGCAAAAGTTTGTTTGTAAACTTTATTGTCCGTATGATATTTATTTTTCATTTAAACGGTTTTGTTTACAAACAGGTATACGTGCTCAGTGTCACGTGTGAGTAAATGTCGTACCGTCCTGAATTTATATACGACCTTCTATACCGAATAATAAATACATTTTGTACTTATACTTGTGTTTGTTTAATGTTTTCTGACACTGATGGGTTCAGTTTATATATTTATATTGTTAGCAGGGACGGTAATCTCCTCGTCATCAATGTATTTTTTAAAGAACACTTAGGTCATCTCGTTTTTAGCTGACCCGGCAGACTTCGTAGTGCCTCAATCGATAAATAAAAGACCTAAATTTTGGAATAAAATAAACTTAAAACAAACAAAAGGAATCCGTCGGACGGGGGACACATCAAAGGGAAAACAAAATTGTTATTTTTATTTAATTTTAAGCATTTTCATATTTATCTAAGCCTTTTAAACCTTCTCTGGACTTCCACAAATAATTCAAGACCAAAATTAGCCAAATCGGTCCAGCCGTTCTCGAGTTTTAGCGAGACTAACGAACAGCAATTCATTTTTATATATATATAAAAGATAAAAGATAAGATAGATTATAGTAGTTGGATTTAGCATGCAATAGTAACAGCATGTCTTACTGTAAATGCAGAAGAACACAATCCCTCCAGATGATTACGTGGAATTAATGCAATAAATATGTTTTTGTTGTTTTTGTGTTGTCTCCTAAATAATCATGTTCACAGTGATGCATATTAATAAATTTTATTTGTAATCGTTAATATTTTACATTAAATCAATGCATCGTGTATTTGCGTAATGTCAATTTGTCCGCTTATCTATCTAAAATTACTGCACCAAATTTTTTTACTGGGGACTGTAGGACCTCTTGTGAGTCCGCGGGGGTAGGTACCACCACCCTGCCTATTTCTGCCGTGAAGCAGTAATGCGTTTCGGTTTGAAGGGTGGGGCAGCCGTTGTAACTATACTGAGATCTTAGAACTTATATCTGGGTGGTGCATTTACGTTGTAGATGTCCATAGGCTCCAGTAACCACTTTACAACAGGTGGGCTGCGAGCTCGTCCACCTATCTAAGCAATAAAAAAAACAAAAAAAAACAACTTTAAAATTCGGATCGAATAAAGCACAGTTGAGAGTTCGTTCGATAAGCTAATATTGAGCTACTTTCTGATTTTCTATATAACAAATGAGACTGAGTATAGGACTACTATATTCGCGAACATCAATATTAAAGCAAGGTTTTCTAGCATATGCTTCAAGCCAATTGTAATGTACTTCGGATACACAGCCATAAAAGGGGGAGGCAATCTTGAAAAAACCCGCACCACCCTTGATACCACCGTCTACGATGCTCTCCAAATAGACGAAGACAGGATGAAAGGGCACAACATCATGAAGACGAAAGTTATTATAGATCACAACCCTCAGACATGAAGAGCACGATTAGAGCAGATATATAGGACTACATAAAAAATGGTTTTTGTTACCAAATCTTCAGAAACACTTTTAGATACTATGGTACGAACCGACAAACTTGCCTATTTCTATTAATTGTCGCATTAAACAAGTTTTCCAGTTTTCAAAACTTAAACGCCATTATTGCCATTAATTGTCACGGCAATAAGTGTTCCGATTTTAAAAACTTAAACAATTCAATTGAGATTTGCATCGTGTCTTAAATAAGCTGGTTTACATATAGCGTGGTGTCTATAGGCTCCTGTAATCAGGTGTTCTGTGTTCTGATCTACTTATTATATAAAAATGAATTGCTGTTCGTTAGTCTCGCGAAAACTCGAGAACAGCTAGACCGATTTGGCTAATTTTGGTGTTGAATTATTTGTGGAAGTCCAGAGAAGATTTAAAAGGTTTTTTTTTATTTTTATTGCTTAGGTGTGTGGAGGAGCTCACAGCCCACCTGATGTTAAGTGGTTACTGGAGCCCATAGACATCTACAACGTAAATGCGCCACACACCTTGAGATATAGTTCTAAGGTCTCAGTATAGTCACAACGGCTGCCCCACCCTTCAAACCGAAACGCATTACTGCTTCACGGCAGAAATAGGCGGGGCGGTGGTACCTACCCGTACAGACTCACAAGAGGTCCTACCACCAGTAATTACGCAAATTATAATTTTGCGGGTTTAATTTTTACTGCACGATGTTATTCCTTCACCGTGGAAGTCAATCGTGAACATTTGTTGAGTACGTATTTCATTAGAAAAATTGGTACCCGCCTGCGGGATTCGAACACCGGTGCATCGCTTCAACACGAATGCACCGGACGTCTTATCCGTTAGGCCACGACGACCACAAAATATGATGATGGTAGATAAATATGAAAACGCTCGGAGTTAAATAAAAATAACAATTTTGTTTTCCCTTTGATGTGTCCCCCGTTTCCGGATTCCTTTTGTTTGTTTTAAGTTTATTTTATTATACAAAAGTTTAGGTCTTTTATTTATCGATTGAGGCACTACGAAGTCTGCCGGGTGAGCTAGTTAATAAATATAAAACAAACTTACAGCTGATGTGAGCGGCATATGCGTTGTATGAGCGACGGCGCGTTGCTCTCGTCGCGCTAAAGCACGTCGCACGCGTGCCTCTTTAGATGCGTACACACCATAATCTGTGAATTTAATACCGTTTCGAATCACATTCAGAATATTAATTTCTTGTGTGTTTTAACTGTTCAATCATCAGCGTTTTAATAGCATTGTCCAACGAACAGTTATAGCAGTAACTGAGGCAGTAACTGACTTTACATTTGATCTTTTCGAATTAAATTATATAACTTAAGTATATCGGATATAGTTTTTAAACTTTTCATTTTTTTATTCTTGCATATTTATTTTCGGAATGCAATGGACAAATGTCATCTGATGAACAAATTGATCCAATTTTTTTTTTCTAAGCTTAGTATTACAAATGAGATTATAATTGATTGTGATTAATTTAATGCTAAACCTGCTTACATTGAGTGTACTGTGACCTAGTTCACAAAAAAAAACAAAACAAAAAAAAACTGCCTACACTTATTTATTAAATAAAAGCCCATTATAATATATTAAAAGTAATCATATGTTTATAACTCTATGCATTTATTTCTTATTTGTTACAGAATACGTAATGTGCATTTATCTTACCAACAGCTGATGTATCATTTAAAATGATCCGAATCTTTGCAATTATATCTCAGTCAAGGATATATTCTTTTAGACAAGTAATAGAAACCACGGCATTACTGAATATAGTAATTCCTTGGTTTCCTTTTTGTAAAACGTACAATCGATTTATACTAAAATTTACTTATAACTAATCTATACTAGCGACCCGCCCTCGCTTCGCTTCGGAAACTGTAATTTATTATTAATTTTTCCACTATTTAATGAATGTTATTATACATATAAACCTTCCTCTTCAATCACTCTATCTATTAAAAAAAACCGCATCAAAATCCGTTGCGTAGTTTTAAAGATTTAAGCATACATAGGGATATAGGGACAGAGAAAGCGACTTTGTTTTATACTATGTAGTGAAATAGCTTAACTAGCCTGTGGTATGTAAAAATATAACCCTTATTTTAAATGTGAGTTATTAATAGACAATTTTGTTTGGTCAATCGTAAATTTCAATTATTTTACGATTGTGTGTAAGGCAGTTAACATTAAGCATGTTAAAATTAAACCAAAACTATTACAAAATAATATGAGAAAGTAAGAGTTAATTTTTCATTCATTCACACAGCAAAGATGTTACATATTAACGTGTTTATTATAATACCATACAGTTTAACAGAGACGGTTTCACTTATAGGCTTTTTAAAATTTGGAAATGTGAACGGAGCTGTAGGCGGCCTTCTTCACGATATTTCCAAATTCTAATAATGGATTTATCATTACGTTTGAATTGTTAGATTATAAAATAATTGTCAGAAATTAGAATGTTACTTTAAAAGCTGTATACGAACACGGGTTACTTTGTGAACTGTCTTTAAAATATATTTTTAATTGACTCTCAACTTTTGTTTAAAGAGTGAACGCATTCGTTGTTACTTTTCCTGAAATAGATATAAACGCGCTCTTTTGTACACTCAGATAAAGAACCATTCATAATTTTGTTACCGTTGTCACCGTTTCACTTTCTGGGAAATATAGAAATGTATTTTTATCTTTTCCTTAGATATTCAGTGTTTGGGTACACGTTTCCCAAATATATGATTTGTAGATATAAGCAAATAAGCTATCGACCCCGGTGTTTATTGACTTTTATGTGAAAACCACCGAGAGAAGCGAAGTTTTAAATGTTTAACCGCAATGCCTATACCACAATCAAATCGCACCCTCCGAACATAAATATCGAGCAATCTCCGCGACTAGTTCTTTTTTGTTTTAAATTAAATAATGGTACTAAAAACAAAGATACTGACTTTATTCAAATTAAATAATAGTTACGTTTGTATAGTAAGCACTCAGTGTTGTTATTACACTAGGTGTAAATCAAAACTTTACTATATCAAATTTAACAAAATATATTTATCGTAGTAGTTATATTAATATCAAATAGCAAACGATTGTTGTTATATTTAAAAATAATAATAATAATAAAGCTCTATTTCATTCCATGCATAGTACACATAAAATGATAACAATAATTAATTATTATTAACCCATTATTCAATTAAATTTATTGCACTTAGATGAATTTGGTTTCTAATTATAAATTATATTTTGTAATTAGTTTAATTATTATTTGTTTTAATTATCCGTTACCTAATCATTTAATGTATGGACCCCGTTTGGGTAAAAGCCTTGGCACGCCAAAGTAAACATCTCCAGACCTAGAGATAGTGGACAACTTTAACTACCTGGCTTTCTACATCAGCAACAATGGCTCGTGCAGAAGGAAGTGCACAGGAGAATTGACATGGCCAAGACTACCATGACTCAGCTAGGAAAAATCTGGAGAAAACGAAATATATCCGTAAAGATCAAAACCAAAATAGTACGGACCCTGGTCTTCTCGATTTTTTCATACGGCGCTGAGGCTTTGAAAGCGGCAGACCGTAAACGCATTAACACCTTTGAGATGTGGAGCTGGAGAAAGATGCTCCGTATTCCGTAGACCGCATTTCAGATTAACGCCTGAATTTTGCGAGAACTCAAAATCTCCTCGCAACTGTCATCCGAGTATTTTCGCAGAGTCCTCGAAAACTTCGGTCACGTTACAAGAAAGGATGGAAACAACCTCGAGAGGCTCATCGTGACCGGTAAAGTAGATGGAAAAAGGGCTCGGGGGTGCACCCAATACGTTGTTTCGACCAGATCCGCACTGCTCTTGATTTCACATTTCACAACGCCCTCCACACCGCCAGAGACAGAAACAAACTGAGAAATATCGTGCGTGAGAAAGTGTTACCGAAGGGCGGTCTTTAGCATTGAGGAATACAGCGCAAGGAGGAGGAAATGTTATATCCCCTACTATCATTCCTCATTCTTTGTCAGACAAAAATATTTACAATAAAAGTTTCTAACGAGTTTTGTCTAGGAAACGACAACTTGTTTTTTACCGCACAATAATATTAACATAAAAATCACTTAGCGTTTTATGTTAACATCTTGTACTTATGTTGTTGCTTAAGAGCTTCATTCAGAGATTGTTTAACGTTCTATTTTTATCTCTAAGCAGAAGGGTTTGCGAAATACTCATGCTACGCCAAAATGAAACATGTTGCAAAGCCCTAAGGGAACGGCAAGGACGTTATAACATGCTCGACGTAGCATATATAGGAAGTCTGCAGCCAAGTAGGAGCAGGACACGGGCGTCAGTACTCCGGTCAATATGTAGAGTGGCTGCCGGCTGTGGTGTGCAGGCGATCAATCGCGTTGCGACGCGGCGAGGGGAGGCAGAGGCGACCACCTGTAGCGCTCCTCCCCGCGCCCCTCGCATCGACACGTGACGTAGCCGTCGAGAAATTTGCCCAAACGTAAACATTAATTCTTGTTTCATTCTTCATTGTGCCGAATGTCGCTTCGCGCCACACGCGGATTCCGACCTATGTTGGTAAATAAGTACGGAGTCGGCTCTCTGAACGCGTTACCGATCCGTCTGATGTAGCGGTACAAGCCACAAGCTAATCGAACCATTAAATATACCCGGCTACACTCATAATAATATGGAACGAGTACAATGTTTGTAATTCAATTAGGTTCATGGAATTAGGCCTGGCATCGACGATGTGCTACACGCGTGACACAAAGAATTACAGTTGTTTTTATGTTTCACTCTAATATATATATTATTTGACGTTACTTTGTTAAGCAGTTTCGTCAATTGAATATTTTAAAAAACTAATTTTAGGCAAGTATAACAAATAATAACAATAAATGTTGACTTTTTCGTAAACTAAACAATATTGGTATCGCTCACATTGTTTTTTATACCTCGTGATCATTTAACCAAAGTCCATTGAAACTGAAGTCATAACTAGTTTATAATGTAATGTTTTAACGAAAAACTTCAATATAAACGCAACTCCTCAATTGGGCCTTGATTTGCAAGCAATAAATACCAGTTTAGCTGTATCTTTCATTTAAAAACTACTTATTGTAACAATGTGCAATTATCATAATTTTTTTGAGTTAATAATTACTGTTATTGATAGCTGCAATTTCGTTGTTATTCTTTTTGCTCTAGATGTAATATAACGATCGGCGACCAAACATTTTTCAATTTATTATTAAAGAAAGTTTATTAAGTATCTGGTTTAATTATTTAATCCCTTATGACTAATTTTAGAATTCATTGTTGAAATATTTGTAAATAAGAAGTTGTATAATAAATATAAAATACCCACCCATAGGCATGACATGTTCAGCATGATGCATATGATGTCCAGGATAGTCATATCGATAGTACCGTGCGTATGGATCATGCGCATGCGGTGCATAGTAGCCATGCGCATAGGGCGCGTATGGCACGGGCGCGTAGCCGACGTAGCCCTCCCAGCCGGCGCCCGCGCCGTATTGTCCGTGCGCGCGGTACTCGCTGTAGTTGCAGCAATCCATGGCTCCGGTAACCTACGCGCCCGCCGGCGCTCTCGCATCTACCGAGCCCGACCATCCTCGCCGCGCGCGCACCAACATCACCATGCTATTACTCTTTCCTCTACTTTCAACTCAATAAACAACCATGTATTTTTTCCAAAACATTACGAGGACCTAACTTTTACCAAGTTTTAATAGTTTATTTTGGAAAAAAAAAGTTTTGTAACTTCAAAAACTGTTGATAATTTTCAATAATTGCAATCAATTGATTTTTTTTTTTGTTTTCAGTAAAATCTCGTATGTCGTACGGTAGCGTAGAAATCGAGCGCAGTTTCGCGGCGGGAATCAGACACGGTGCGACGTTAGTTAGCGAAAAGAGGTCGTTCGAGTTTGCCGGCAAGTGCTCGAGATTGGAGGAGGCGGGCGGTACGGCGGGGCGCGGGCCGCGAGGGAGGGGCGACGCCCGCTCGCCGGCGGCTCGGCGCAACGCGGCGCTCGACGGACGCCGACTGAAGGCGCCGCGGAATCGATACACGGCCGACGCCGCCCGCCCTCCCGCACTACCTGCCTGCGCCCGTATTGCGCGCGAACTTTGTCTTCCCCGACGGAATTTTATATTTAGAACCATGGTGAAACGATTGATCGATACTTTGCACTATTAATTACAAACCATAACACTTTCGCTTAGCTAGTACTAACAATATTACAGCATTATTCCAAAATTCAGAACTGGAAACTGCAGCATCTCTGCCTGATAACGAATCGCTTGTGACCTCATCATGATCAGTTTTATTAAATTTAAAGGCGGCGTCTTCAATTTAAATTAATTTGTTTTTATTAAGATATAATCGTATGAGGGGGACGCTTAAATAAGGCCTAGTTTTTATTTACTTTCATATTCGTTAGTGAAGTTGAGGAATTCGCGCCCTGTTTCCAGGTGGTTGATACTTATAAAGTTTTATCGAATTGCGCGTAGGCGGCAGTGACCCACATCGACGATAGACTTGCGACGCATCACCCGCGCCCTCGTCCTTCGCCCGCTCTACAGATTCACGTAAACTTTTATATTTACCGTTTTGAATGGTTGAAAACTTTTTAATTCAGACGCCGATTGTTTCGTCGCAACTATTTTCAAACGCACTTCAACTCCATTGATTTAATATTGAAAATAAAATAATTGCAGGATCAAGGGATGTTTCATTTACTGAAAACTCAAGATGAGCAATCGAGTTAATGGTCTTGCTGGTAATACGTGACTATAGTAGTACACATGATACTAAAGCGTCCGTCTAGTAACGTGAGGTCCAAATCTGAACATGATTGGAATAAGGGCTAATTAACTCTAGAAAGTAAAATGCACGGTTACTTCGTGACTTAAATGAGCAACAACAGTACCGAACCTGCTGCTTAATGGCCCTAAAGTCTGTCCGCATCACCACGGTTCGATGCCGTCACTGTATACGGCACGTCAATATAGACGGTAAATTTCCGGTATAACAGTTCACTTGCGTACCAATTAACTGTAAATTCTATTGAAGCATAAGGCATAATATACGACGTTGCCGTATCCACAGTGACGGCTCTGGGCTTCTACGATGTGCTTAGAGCAAGGAACTAGTACGGTGTATTATCTAGAATTTATTATCTTCACGAGTCGTAGACGCAATTAAAACTAATTTTAAATACAAGATAAATACAGAAACTGTAAAGTATTTGAAAATAGTCGGAAATAATATAATGATAATAAAAAATACGTAAAAGTAGTTTTCGTGAACTGGTCATGTTGCGTAAAAACAGATGTAGCATAGGATTGAACAAGGACATACTCACATAATTATTACTGTAATCGTCACGTAATCTGTCATAGCATTAACCCTTGACTGCTTGGCGTTAAAACACGTTTCACAAAAACCCAATTTGCGACTGTAAGATCTCATGAGACCCTACAAGTATCCGTAAGTTAAGTGAACTTCGTTAACTGCTCAGCTATATTTCATGAAACAATACAACGGTACAATCCAGTTTCTGTGTACAATAACTCTTTGCCGGTTTACTTTAAAAGTAATTAATTTGTTCTCCTTTAGGTTCGATGATAATGTGTTTATGGCTTAAGACTTTTATACTAAACATTAAACACAAAAAATACTATAAGCGCTCTTATTTATAAGAACGATATCTGGCAAGCAACTTTCAAGTGAGCAAGTATCATCTAAGGCAAGAGTTATAGTGTTTGATTTTCTTTGCCTCTGTAGATAGACGATCCAGTATTGCTCAAGACAATCAGGACACAGCCAAACCGCTGCGTACCTTTAACAGATTGGTCGGCTTGGTTGTGTACTCGGAATAGTGTACACTTATGAGTAACGGTGACCATTAGCTATAGGTTGGATCTCATATTCAATAGAGCTTCACAAAATTGTAAAGTCAATACTTTTTGCTACGTGTTACTTGAGATCTTGAGCTTAGTTATTATTAGTTAGTACCACGGCCTTGGATATTGTATCCAATGAGCAATCATGCGTTCAGATTTGAGGACTAAGCGTTATCACGATGAATTCTTCTATTACAAACTATTTATACGCGCGCCTATTTTGATTACCCGGAAGCCTTTTCAACTTCATTAAAATAACGACTTCGTTCGGGTGAATTTTATTATATTTTGTTTGTGTCGAAAAATTTCAATATATCCAGAGACTTGCTGTTTAGCCAGAACAGATGGGTTGGTAGCAAGTGCCCGAGCACCCCCAAAACGACCTAACAGTTCAAAAACAGCTGCTTTACGAGTGCCCTTGCCACCGGATCAGACCCCCTGAGAAGACCCCGCGAAAAACTCAGCGGACTTGGGCATTTATGTCGAATTCTTCATTTATGTCGAAATCTGCGGCAAATACAACGTGTGCGGTGACTTGTGCTTTGGTTGCTAGCGACCAAGGGCACTGAAAGGACTTATTTAAGACATCGACAGTTGTTGGCGACGTGAGGCGGATCGGAAGTTGGCAACAATCACGATAAATGAGATCTCATGTCGCACTGCCGATACAAAGTAACATTCGGACGAATAACTATGAAAATGAATAATAACGATTAAGATTGCAGCCTTGCAGTAATGTTATTATTTCACATGATTCGATTAATTAATTAACATTTAAAGTACCTCATTTTATTTTCTATAATTATATATAAATTATAGTGTGCGTAATTACTGGTGGTAGGACCTCTTGTGAGTCCGCGCGGGTAGGTACCCTGCCTATTTCTGCCGTGAAGCAGTAATGCGTTTCGGTTTGAAGGGTGGGGCAGTCGTTGTAACTATACTTGAAACCTTAGAACTTATATCTCAAGATGGGTGGCGCATTTACGTTGTAGATGTCTATGGGCTCCAGTAACCACTTAACACCAGGTGGGCTGTGAGCTCGTCCACCCATCTAAGCAATAATAAAAAAAAACCATACAGGGCTTTAATCATTAACGTAGTACATTTTACAGGGTAATGCCAATGTAAATACACTTGCACTACCATAAATGTGAGACGTCAAATTGTTTTCACTGTTCGTTCTAAACAGATGAGTTTTAAGTGCTGTGAGTATGAGGAGCGAAGAGGAGCAGACTGCGATGCAACCAAACAACGAACCGAAGGAGCCCGAAGTTATACGAAGGCTGGCTCATTGATGCGAGCCGCCCACCGGCTTCGAGCGAACACGTACTTTGCGACGCGACGGTTCCAGTTCAATAATCCGTTACTAAAGGATTTTCACTTTCAAAAACCTACCGTATTCCTCATTTATAACAGCAATAATCTCTTCATAAGTCCGTTTCTTGTTTCTAATCCAGTTCACGTGCTACGAACATCGAACTTTTAAATATTACGTCCGTTATCCAACGGATAAGTAAATGATATGAAATGTATACGCATTGGTCGCTTCAGTTCCGTTGTACTGTTTGTACTTTAATCAGAATATTATCATAATATATCTAACATAAATAACAGTTTAAAAAAAAATCAGAATACTATCAAAATAACTCTTCTACTGTTCTACTATATCTGTTCATAAAATATTTATAACTACTGATACCATGCACCCCGCGCTTTTTTACAATAAAATCATTTTTTCTTATACTATTTTTAATTCAAATTTATTAAAATTTATTTTCTATAGAAGCTTATTTTGTTAGTTTTTTTAATTATATATTTTTCATTTTTTAGTTGAATTTAAATAATTTTTTTTAAATTTAATTGTCGTCGGTCCTTAATAAGTATACCAAATTTCGGGTTAATCCGACGTTTCGAAGGGACTCAAAATCATGTTCAAAGATTCCGTTACAAACATACATACATACGTCTGAAGCTAATAAAAGCGTATTAATAAGCGTCGACATAACGATTTACAAGATCATCATATACAAACGCGCTGAGTATGTTCCAGTGTATGTGGAGTGTCGGTAGAGAAGCCAGGCGCGGGTTATCATGCAGATTGCCGCGAATCAATAGGGGCGCTCGGCCACTGACAGCGGATGACGATCAATATCGTCCCAGTGGAGCTGTCTCCGCATTAAGGGGCTTCCTCGAGCGCCTTTACCCACAACCTACAGGTCGTACATTATGACGCGTTTCAGCGCTGCTTATGCTAGACACTATTTTAGTGCCAGACAAATTATAGTTGTAAAATAAACTAGAATACATCGTTAAATGTTTTCGAACCTTATCATCTTCAAATTAAATTTATTTTAATTAGGTTTTTTTTCTTATTTTTTGTGTATTGATAAGTTATCGAGAATAATGAAAACAACGATATATTAATATCGTTTGATAATAACTTTTACTTTGGGACAAGAACGTTTCAGTCTGATGTCAGTAAATTGGTAATGAAATATTGGACGTTGGTAGAGGCATATTGACGTTATAATTCGATAGTGGAAGCGTCCGGGAGGCAGAGCACTTTGTATAACCACATTATTGGAATGTACCTATCATATGGAAAATGTACTGAGAGTATGTGAGTGGATGCAATAATGGAGGCAAATGCTCATAATAGTTATATTATATATAACAATTTCTCATTTCATATTGTTTAGCTAAGATCTACATGTTTTTGTTTGTTAAAAATGTAGTTCTATCTTTAAATGAAGGTATGTAGGTAATTGGAGTATTAAATAAAATTAATTTTCAACAATGAGCAAAACTAGCGCCAGTCGGCATATGATTTGTGTAACAAAATTTTCGAAAGTGTTCTTTTAAATATATTGAATATTCCCTGTGCGTATTATTTCGGTAGGCTCGTTTTATATTTGAAAGCTGTGATTTAACTTCCAGTACTTACTAAAGTTGTCTCACATTTTCAGCATTGTTTTAGGTGAAGTTCAGAAGATGAGTTTTTTTATAAACTAATTCTTCTCAGGTAACAATAATATATTGCATAATGATTACTTAAAATTTGCACTTTTTCAGTTTCTAGAAAACAGCCCTGAATATTTGCGAGATTTTTTTTATTGGTATTATGAAAGTGACAAACTCAGAGTATACCTGGTGTTATAGATAGCCCATAAATATAAACCACATTAATGTCGCCACCCAGCTTGAGACGTGAATTCTAAGTCTCAGTCTTTATAAGTAAAATAGCTGCCCCGCCCTTCAAACCGAAGCGCATTACTGCTTCTGTGGTTACCTACCTTAATGGACTTTTACGTTAGACACCGGCTTAGTTTTGCCCCTGGCATTGCTGACGTCCATGAGCGACGGTATCCACTTACCATCAGATGGGCCGTATGCTCGTCGTCTGACTAGAGGTGCAATAATTAAAAAAAAAACTCGCAATACCACCCTTACCACCAGTAATTATAATTTTTGCAGATTTGATTTTTATTACAAGGAGTTATTTCTTCATCGTCATGGAAGTCATTCCTGAACATTTGTTATGTACCTACGTATTTAATTAGAAAAATTGTTAAGAATATTATAATATATTTTTATCTTCCTACGAATGAAACATATTATAATACAATCTCTCAGTTCTTACCTTATTTACGAATGTACAAAATCTATTTCTTCATTTCTTTTTGCGTTAATGGGCAAGACGAGCTTCTCAGTATGTCTCGATTCCGATTCGGTGATAGATTAAGGGAAGCATTGCTATTCCCAGGGCCGATGCGAGAGACTTTCAGAATGAGCACAGTGAGCTCACCTACAAAACTGTACGTAGTTGAAATAGCGCCTTAGGTTACTACCAGCAATTAAATAGAAGAAAAAAATGCGAGTATCGCGCTTATTGTAGATAATTTTAACTTTTATTATTTAATAAATTCGTAATAAACCAATAGTTGAAGGCCGACAGACTCGACTCGAGATTGCTCTTACGTGGCTTCCTTCTCTGAAGATTAAGCAACCTTAATTTCAAAAAACAATTACGTCATAAACATTTCATTAACCGTTTCTCAGCATTCAATAAAATAATCTGCAGTGGCTGATAAATGTAAAATGAGTTATTAGAAAAATGTTCTAAAAATTTAAGACTAACAATCGATAAAACACTAAATCATTGTGATAACAGGGAGTGCTACTTTGGCGGCTATTGTTACCGTGTACCTTTCTGAAAATGGCACAATGAAGAAGTAGCGCGTACTTTGCAGTCAACAGAAGTCCATTCCACCTAAGAGGCTCCGGCGATAAGAATCTATGGCGATTTTTTTACCGCTTGAACGTAAAAAGTCAGTAGGATAAAATAAAATTAACACATAATTGAAAGATACCTATCTAGTTAAATTGTTTATCTAAATGCTCGATACAGCTTTGAGGTCGAACACAGACAGAAAAAATTTGTCAATTGTATAATTAACAATTGGCATAAATCCATAAAAAAATATAATTTTTAAAACAATATATATCTATATATTCCTTAACTGTTTACTGGAGAAACCATTAAGTTGTTTAGATTTTCTGTGACCGAATCTGAAAGCGAGTATATTCTTCGTACCGTAAATGAAATAATAATTTTCGTTGAATTTATACAATTATTATAACCAATGAAAAAGCCAGCCCAGAGACTTATAACTAATAGCAAGAGTTTGTGGATATTCTGGTGACAAATTAGCTGATAAATGTAAATAATTGAATTTTACTCTGCTTGATAACTTTAAGCGTATAACTCTTTCAGCGCTTATTATTATAGATTTAAAGTTATAACGTAAAACGATAAAACCACTTTTTTGTTTAAATTTGTTTTTTATAATTAATGTATTAAATAAAGAATCTTAATATAATATGTCGGGTTATTGCAGAGAAGAGTATTGCTATGATCTATTCAGAATACCAAGGGGGCCGCTTTTACCAAATTGCAATGGGGTTTGGAGTACGTTATCAGTGGCAGTATAAAATGTACCTTCTTAATAAAATGGTAGTATAAAATGATTTTATAGAAACCAGAGTGACTTAAAATATGAAACCGAAGTCTGTGTAATTCTTATTTAAAATATGTAAATAGAGTGCATGTAGAGTAGAGTAAACTTTACTAAATACCATTATTAAATCAAAACAAATGTAAAAAAAACACAAAAATTACAATGAGTGGTATTATCGATTAGAGCCTCATTAATTAATTTCTACAGAATCTTTTTTGTGATTGAGGGATTTCTATTGGCCTAGAATTTCGAATTTCACCAAGAGGGTTGGGCGAACTTAAGGGCGCACCCTAGGGTTTACTAACCACCCGAACTCCTCCGAGAGACTTACCTTTGTGGTTGCCAAGTTTAGACTTAGTAGTGTCTAGCATCAGCAGATCAGGCGTATTCATCCCGACTATTAAAAAGTTTAACCGAATGCCGTAGTAGTTAGAATGCCGCTATGCACCTTAAATCGTAGGGTGAAAATCTTACATTACACTTTTAATTAAAAACAGGCTCCAGGCAGCACGAGAGTAGGGCCAGTTATAATAGGCATCTCATATTCAAGGTAGCTAGGTAGGTGCTTTTTTTTTCAAAAGACTTAAGACACATTTTTACGAAGCATAAAATCTTTATTCATAACATAATAATAAATCTTGTAAAATTCTGAATAAAATATTCAACAATACTACATTACACAATGTAAATAATATCTCCATTAAAACTATTAATATACTAAATTGGTACATAATATTATAATATAATGTACGTTCATAATCTATCTTAATCACTAATCATTAATTAACAAATTTTCACTAATGGCATCCGATACGTTGGGCGCATCGAGTCGATATAATTTTTCTTACAAATACATTGTTGAGATAACAAAATTAAATATATTAATATAAGAGTTCATTTAAATATTTTACGTAAACTAAACAATCTACTCAATATACTACTACAGGTAACTTAAAAATAACATTGAAACTTTTCAATATCGGTTCGTATTTTATATGTTTTGGCACATTTAACCAAACAAAATAATATTTAACCAAACAGGATACGTGGTGTAGAATTGAAGCGAAAATTAATTAAAAATATTCCCTTAGTATTACAGCTCGTTGTTTAAGTGACTGATTTTGTAACAAAATCATGGACACAGTACTGATTCCATCATTTTTAGATAAATAAAAATTGGTACATTTTCTCCTTTATTTGCCGTCCGATTTATTTTTTGTACTGTTATTAATTAAAAACATATTATAAATGTAATATAATAATATATAACAGTATTAATTAAAGTTTCTTTCTCAAAATGTTAGGAACAAAGCAAAAGAGGACATGTGGCACACAAAATTAGTCTAAATCTTGCGGTATTATGGTCGAATTTCGATTATTGCGCGAACAATAGCAGAGACAGAAACTTTATATTAACTTTTTAATTGATTCCCTTCTTTACATAACTGTATGTTAAGCTCCGTCGGTCAGCACACATGTATAAATTTTCCATAAAAAATAAATAACTAAACAGCATTCAATGTAAGTCAATAAATATTCTCAAATTATTTGGTGTCTTAAACCTGTAACATCAAGACTTGAACTAGGAACAAATTAAATAAAAATATAGATGGAAACAAAACATAGCACTTTTCTTATGCTGGCGGTAACCAACATTACATTTAAAATGTTAAGAAATAAAAATTATATGAATTTCTATAAAGAAAAATATTGGATACTAGAGTCGACTATTATCAAAGCCGGCAATCTGACTTTTGGACAATTATTGGTAAATCAGAAAAACGAATTATTGACTTTGTATTCCATTGGCAGCCACAAAACTCTTCGGAACGACATCTTAGATAAATAACAGGTTAACTATTAACCTTTATTTAATGCAGGTTTTGAACCGTATTCTTTGAAGGAGACGATTATATTAAAATCAATCTGTATTGACATATGAATAACATTTTTTTGTCCAAATGCACAGATTGCCACCTTTGATAATAGACGACTCACTACATAACTATTCATTACACGTACATTATTGAGAAAAAAATAACCATTTAAAAACTATAAAATATGAGCTTGCTCATAATTATAACTAAAAGGATTTTAATAATCTATAAAATTAACTGTCAAATTTTAGAACACCAAATATATTAGCACCAATCACATTAGTTTTGCACCAAATATTTTTTTCTCAAAATCTCAAAAACAAATTTACTTACAGTGTAAAAATAATTTTATATCAAATAGAAAAAAAGCAACTGATCTTTTCTTACATTAAAACACTGCAGAGTTTAACGTCAGTCTCTACTTACATCAATTCAATTAAAATATTTAATTCACTTTAGTACAAATTTGTATTAGACGGATCAAATTTATCTTTATAAGAACTATGTTTGAATTTCGACACGGACATACTAGAGACCCAACAAATTTCCTCTTGCTTATTTTTTTAATTAAAACCATACTCGTAAGGAACCATCTCCAGCATATATAACATAAGTAAATTAACTCACTCATACACATTTTCATGTCAAATAAATTGTCTTTCAGAATCACTGAAAAGTATATGTTATAAATAATTTTAATTCCTAAGGGTCCATTGTGGTATATAAAAATACTCGAACATTCCTGTACTCAGCAATTTACCTATAAATATCGTTCCTCATTTTAAAGGTGTTTTCTTTCTAGTTAACATTAGATGGCCGAAAACACTTTCAACAAAATTGACAACAATCACTATGATTTCATTGCCAATACTTTATTAACAAGGCACATTTTAAAAATATTTTACTTNATTCCTAAGGGTCCATTGTGGTATATAAAAATACTCGAACATTCCTGTACTCAGCAATTTACCTATAAATATCGTTCCTCATTTTAAAGGTGTTTTCTTTCTAGTTAACATTAGATGGCCGAAAACACTTTCAACAAAATTGACAACAATCACTATGATTTCATTGCCAATACTTTATTAACAAGGCACATTTTAAAAATATTTTACTTATATAGTGGCTTGTCCTAATTGACAAGGGACTGAGGCTAAGGCACGTAATATAAGACCATAATAATTTAAATAATTAGTTTCTTTGACCATGACTTGTCCACATGTGCTCCTTAAAAGTTTCACGCATTGTGAACGATCTTGGACACAGATAGCAACACAATCTATTCGTTAAATCTGAATGCATTAACCTTACATGATATTTGAGTGCTGACTGATTAGAATATTTCATTCCACAATGTGGGCAATCCCCACAAATAGCAGCATGGTTAGATTGTTGGTGGGACATTATTTGCGATGTTGATGCTCCACCTCCCAAACCTGGTACAGTGGACATGCCAGCAAGTAGTAATAAAGCCTGCGATTGTTCTTGATTATATGTGTTCTCTGTATCACCATCTTGGTGTTCAGAGAGAAGTACTTCTGGTTCATACTCCACATCAGATTTTGGTGACTGTCTTTCTGGTTTTACTTGTACTTCATCAGATGTGTTTTTTATTGGACTCCTAGATGAATTATTGTGTGAAACAGTTTCAGTGTTTGAATCTTTTGATCTACTGGGACCTATTTCTCCAATATTAACTGGTTTTTTTCCTGATAAATTACTGGCACTGTCACTTTTTGAAGGATTAATTCCTGAAAATACAATACAATACTCATTTTATACCAAATAAATAAAACTTCCGTCAGAAGCCGTTGTGGCCTAAAGGATAAGACGTCCGGTGCATTAATATCTAGCGATGCACAGGTGTTCGAATCCCGCAGACGGGGCTACCAATTTTTCTGATGAAATAGGTACTTAACAAATGTTCACAATTGACTTCCACGGGGAAGGAATAACATCCTATAATAAAAACCAAACCCGCAAAATTATAATTTGCGCAATCACTGGTGGTGGGAGTTCTTATGAGTCCGCACGGGTAGGTACCACCGCCCCGCCTATTTCTGCCGTAAAGCAGTAATGCGTTTCGGTTTGAAGGGTGGGGCAGCCATTGTAACTATACTTGAGACTTTAGAACTTATATCTCAAGGTGTGTGGCGCATTTACGTTGTAGATGTCTGTGGGCTCCAGTAATCACTTAACACCAGGTGGACTGTGAACTCGTCCACACATCTAAGCAATAAAAATAAATAAAAACTTCCTAATGTATCAGCAAAAAATCAGGAAGGCAAAAAAGCAAAGGCTTAGGAAGTAAGAAATTTATTTAAATCGAAGTTTTTGAATAGCAGCAAATTCAATTTTGATCTGTGTCTCAAGGTGCATAGCGTTTTCCAAATAATATCAGATGAATTATGATCTCAGACCATGTATGCTCACTCACATCAATGACATCTTAGTGTAAATTTCGTAAAAACACCTTTTTTCTCAATGCCACCATGCCAGAATAAGAAAAATTAAAATGTTTAATTATTGTTTATAAATTATTGTTTGTTCAATGTTTGTAGAACATTATTAATTTCTATTTTAAATAACTATTTAAAGTAATTAGCGTTTTTAACACATGATGTAATATGTGGTTCAATTGTATATTCATTTATGGTCCACTTTTGGCTAGTAAATGATTAATATGGCCCTAAGCTGTTTCATTATGTTAAGAAAGTATACATAATGAAGTTTCATTCTGCCTTATTTTATTGCTAGCATGGTAATTTTGAAATAATAAGGGGCAGGTGGTCAATTATTCAACATAATAATACAATATTTTTCTTTACCTGATAACAATGACCTTGCAAGCATGCTGTTTTCATAATCTGGAAGGCTGTCATCTTGTTCTGATAGAATGGCAGTTGATAATTCAGTTGAATTATCATCAAGGACTTCAGTTTTCATTGGTATTGAACAATCATGCACCTGGAAACAATATAGAATATTAAATTAATGCAGTTACAGCTTCAATACTTTTCTGAAATGAAATTAATGCTAGTGGAAATAAGTTCAAACCTGAGATGATGTACTTTTCCCATTGGCAGTTATTAGTGGAGAGTCATTTTTTCCATCACATTTCTTGTCAACATTGTTTTCAACAGGAAGCACATTGTCAATTTTGGAAGATTGTGAAAAATTGTTTAATCTAGGAATATCACATGTATCCAGGACCTTGGTTTTTTTGTAACTGTCACCGACTGACACATCATTTGGCTTGTCTGAAGTGCTGCTTCTGCGTTTCTTTAGTCCTGGTAACTTTGCATCCTTGTGGGAGGCATTGTGGTGTGGTCTTGATGAAATTGTTAACTGAGTGTATAGTTTGTTTGATGTATTAGGTGATGTAAAGTTTTCTTTCTGTAAAATAAATAAATTTAAAACTGTACCACCATCAAAGCAAGAATACTTTGAATTATCTTTAAATGAATATGAGCATAATTAAAGTTCAGTAAGGCTTACTCAAAAAAAAAAACAACAAATAGCAATTTTTTTTAGTAATCTTATAACTTATTAAAGTGAGATTATCATTATTACCCCTTCCAATTTACCCATAAAATCTGCTAATGGAAGCATCAACAGATTTTGTTTTGGTTTTTTACTATAGTTGTTGGTCACAACATCAATAAAAGTTATCTATGGTATATTGGAATCTGTTTTTCATTTCTATAGCATTTCAAATGTAATAAACGTAGAACTTTCATCACCTGTTGAGTTACTCCAGTAAGTCCTTTCACTTGCAATAAGGCAGCAGTGTGAAGAAATGAAGACAATTTACTCTCTTCAATGAAAACTTCACCTTGGTACATGTATGACAACAAGCTCACAATATCATCTGCAGACACATCTTTCAAAATGATCACTGGATGCTGACATGGGTTTTCCTGAGATAAACACAAATTTTCATTGATAAAATTCAATAGAACCATTAGGTTTACTTAACAAAATATTAAAGTATCCTTACATTTTTCTTTAATAAAACAAAATTTAAAAAAATAAAATAAAATTTTAAAAAATAAAAAGAAAAGTAAAATAAAATTTTGTAGAACCATTACTAAAAAAGTATTGAAAATAAAATCCTTTTAATATGTGCATAAACGAACATAGCATACATTTAGTAGTAAGTAGGTATATTGTTGGTATTCGCATGACATTGCATATACCATAACATATTTACTTGTAAATGAATATGAAGGTTATTAATGTCCTAAGTCATTTACCTTGAACACATTCCTGAAGTACGGACTGCACGCTGACAAAATGACTTTGTGGGCCTTGATATTTCTACCTTCACAAGTAAGCGTCACATCAACTAAATCTTCAGAACATTTTAAGGAATCCAATGCACTCACAATATTCGATTGAAAATTGTTCCAGCGTAAACAAAATTGGTCGGCCATTCTTAAGGTTTCAATTTATATCTGCAAAAGAAAAATATTTCGCTGACTTCATTTTGACACATGACATCGAAGGAAAGAAAAAACAATTGTATTATTAATTACTCACAAACTTGTTCCGTAAAGTAAATTACATTTTAATAAAACATTCAATTTCTGTGAAAACGTATTCAAATCTTCTCTATTTTTTTAGAAAATGCACAAAAATGCAATGACCTCCATTGATTTGACACTGACTTTTTCTTTCACTTTCCTTTGTCTATGGATTTTGCGTATCTTTTTGGTCTTTATTCTATGCTTGAAGTGATGGATTAGTGATAGACCTCAGAGTATAATGTATATCCCTTTACTAAATCAAAAATGCTACTACAATTTATGGTTGATGAAAATAGACATATTTTAAGCTATAATTAACAACTCTCATAATAGCTGGAGTTCCACCTACATGCTAGAAACGTACCGTGGGGCATGCCAGAGTTAAGCTGACTATTATAATCTCCGGTGGCTCAACAGGCCATATCGCTAATACGACTAAGACAGATGTCAATAAATGTTGTGGGGAAAGGTGACATATTCCCCGAGAACACATCTCTCTTCACCACCTTACTCCCACTTAACGTCATTCCGATTGTTGACGTCATAACCACCAGAACTCTCGATTGGCGAGCTAAGCTGCTGCCTATTGAAAGTCTTGTGCTTACGGACTACGGGTCTATTCGTTCACTTTAATAATAAAAATAGTGTTTTGTCGTGTCGGCAACTATTTTCTCTCTGCAAAGTAATATGTCCAATGATTTGATGTATCATTCAACTTGTTCTTAGAGATAGATGAACATTATTAATTTAAAATAAAATTTAAAGCTTTTAAAGGAATTTTTAAACGTTTTAGTATATTTAGTAAGGAAAACTTTTAAAGGATTCCATTTCCACGAATGAAGTATGAATATACTTTATATATTATTTTATATTACAACAAATTAGCTATAAAGAATCGTTGGTTATCTCCTTGTGAGCAATAAACACAAAATAGTGTGTAAAATGAAAATAAAAGAAAATAAGAATGTTGGTTGGTATTTTGTAATCACTGAACACGGTTTATTATAAAGTTTAGTTACGGATAATTTACTTATTCCGGTCGATATCTTCACGAGGAAATTAAAGCTTTCTCGATTTTTATTTTTCTATTCATACTTTTTGTAACCATGTAGTGCAATAAAGTCATAATTACCTCTAATAATTTCATCTCTACGGTACCGTCAAATGGGAACTTAACCGTAACGTGTCAAGTTGACGTTGTCATGTAATAAGTGTCAACAAATCGTTTGTTTGGCTGAGATTGAGTTGCGGTTTTTCGACTCTAGTTGCAATAATTGAAAAACAAAAGTATTACCTACGTAATTTTAAAAACAAGTACCTGTGACTTACCGTCTTAATACTAAAGTAAATATGGCAAACGATCCTGAAAGATTTGATTCCATGCTCCTAGCTATGGCACAACAGCACGAAGGCGGCGTAAAAGATGTAAGAGTAAATTATTATTTTTGCTTTGTTCACAATAATATAACAGATATAAATCATGACACTAAACAATATACTTTTATTATGTCTTTATCAAAGCGCTTAGTTGTTTCTCGTTAAATTGAATANAAAGTAAATATGGCAAACGATCCTGAAAGATTTGATTCCATGCTCCTAGCTATGGCACAACAGCACGAAGGCGGCGTAAAAGATGTAAGAGTAAATTATTATTTTTGCTTTGTTCACAATAATATAACAGATATAAATCATGACACTAAACAATATACTTTTATTATGTCTTTATCAAAGCGCTTAGTTGTTTCTCGTTAAATTGAATACCATTGATCGCTTGCACGTGTTGTCATAACAACACATTCTAGAAACTTGGGAGGTTACTAGTGGAAGATACCTACTTTTAAAGCCTTGATGTCCTTAATACGTTTGTTCGTAGTTTTGTTGACTTTTAGAAATAAGTAAGTTACAAGCTCATTACTTAAATATCAGACACATAATCCACTAATTTGAACAATTACATTCAAAAGCACAAAGAAAGGGACAACAGTATTATTTCTACTAATTAGGACAAAGTATATAATTGGAACATTTTCTTGAATTGATTGCATTTTGAATTTCAAATTCATTATTATATTCATCATAGTATTCATATTATATTCATCATAGTTATTGATCTTAAATATGATGAGCATTTTATGCTGTTATGTGTTTGATAATAATTTAATAAATTATATATTTCTAATGTAATGAAATTCATCAACAACTACATTATTATTTCTTTATTTATTCTATAGGCTGAATGATCTCACAGCTCATTTGGTCTTAATCATAAGGTCTCATTTGGATTATAATTTGAGGTGTTCAGATATAAGGTGAAAGTTTCAATTGTATTGGTAGTTTCGATTGCAGAATGCATGATTTTGTGACAAAAATAGGCAGGGCAGTGTGCATAGTTTGACTTTTTAATGTTTTCAATTGTGTAAAAGTTAAATCAAATTTGTTGGAAGTTGGAATGTTTCCTTATGTTTGCCGCAAGGGGTGCAGTTGCATCTGTGAGCTCTTGCAATGTGGTCTACCACTGGTAGATTTTAAAGATGAAAAGTTTAATTTTTTTTTGTTTCCAGCTGCTGAACACAATAGTTAGCTTTTTGTCTAGAAAAACTGACTTTTTCACTGGTGGCCGTGAAGGGGAATGGGAGCAGGTATATATTGCTTAAAAATAATCTTACTAGAATTTTAGATAAAAACAATATATATATTAAAATAAAATCACTAATAACTTTACTTAGGCAAATAGAGTCTATAAAAGACATTAAAACTTAATAAAATTTTCATATATCATAAATAAATTTGTGGATAAGATGCATTAATTTAATTAGGCAGCAGCTATACTATGCTATTAGTGATGCCTCTTGGGTCAATAATTGAAACTCAATTTTGAATAACTCTCCAATGTACAGTTTTGTTTTTTCAGGTAGTCAAAGATACTTTCTACACCCATGCTAAAAAAGCATGTGATGAAGCTAATAGGATTAAGAAAGAAAAAGAAGAAGCAGACAAGAGATTAAAGGAGATTCAACAAAGAAAAGAACAAGAGAGACTTGCAAATGATTTTGAACCTGCTACTGTAACTGAACTCACTGATCAGGAAGCAGAGAAATTAAAGGAAGATATTGAAAAGGACAAAAATGAAAAGAGTATGACTTGTTTTTATTAATAGTTGTTTTTATATTATTTTTCCACCCAAAGCTTCACCTGCGTTATTTATAATTTAATTTGTTTGGGCACAGACCCATGAACAGAAGTAGGACGAAAGAGAGTCTATATTCTCTCCCAAGTTTATTTTTAAATTATGATAATAGCTTTTTTTTGTAAAATCAGATTTTAATAATAAAGTCAATTTATCCCATTTAAAGTACATAAAAAATCTGTTCATTGTTTTGGAAATGTGCACAAACAAACCACAAAACACTCACAAAATAATACTAAAAATGTCTTATGTTATACTTACTTGGTTTTACTTACTTTTTTTCCTTTTTTTATTTCTTGTCTTTAATGTGCAGAAATTATTATACTTTATTATATATGCATTGACTATAAGTATGTTACCTAAAAGAACTCTCAGTTTCTTCTATTGATATTAGACTGTGTGCACTGCCTACAACCATCTTTGACATAAAAAACGAACTGATGATTCTTTAAGTATATCTGCAGTAATATACTCATAAAAATAAGGAATACAGAATTTCCATTTCTACACAATTAGATATCTGTTAAAATCAAATTGAATATGATTACAAATAAACTTTGTAGAAAAAACCTGAGATAAAATATGAGAAATATCATGAAGTCCCTAAATTATTAAACTTAAATTTCTATCATTTTAGATTATCATTTCTGTTTGGATTTTGGTTATGTTCATGGTTATAAGTGGTCTTAAAAGGACTTTATTCGTAACATATTGACTAGAGCAAGCACCATCTTTGACATAAAAATTCCCAAGCTAAAAATGTTCTAATCAATGTTGTGCTACGTTTGACCAAACAAAAAGTAGAATTTCAGTTACTCTGAATGCATTGTATTAAGAATAATATATGCAGTCGGTGTACAGATTAGGTATTAATCTTAACTAATCTACCAGTTATAAAACTTGATTTTATAATTTTTTTAAATCAGTGTGTATTTCGCTTAGACATTCCACTTCTCATAAAGCACTATTGACCTGATTTTTATTTGTTTTCCATCCACAGATATTAAACATAAAACAAACAGTAGAAATCTTATAATTATGGTAATTTCTGGTTAACTATAAAATTAAAATTGTATTGAATAATTCCAAGTTATCACTCTAGTGTTGAATATACAATCATGATCCAAAATATGAACTTAAACACTCCTAGACATAAATATAATGACACCACATCAGTATATTTCCTTCATATATGCAGATGCAGAAGTTGGCAGTGGTGATAGCAGTGATGTTACTGAGCCTGCAACGCCCGAAGAGGATGACGATCCCAAAGAAAAGGGGAAGTTGAAACCTAATGCCGGAAATGGATGTGATCTGGAGCACTACAAATGGACACAGACGCTGGAAGAAGTAGAGGTGAGTCATTGGTATTAAATTCAGAACCATAGAGTTTGTTCAGTTATTCTCCATTATCTACTTAAACATCTAGTAAAATGGCCACTATATCTTTAAGAGACTGAATGGTGAATAAACATTACACGCTTCGCTGTACATGCGTAACTCTGTATAAACTAATAGTTGTTGATACATGCACATTGTCTAAGTTGCGGCCTTTCTATTGAGAGCCGTAGATATTTGCAACACAAAAAACCCAGTTTTGTGTGCTGTGTTAGCTCAAGTTGGTGTTAAACGTTTACTGCAATGAAATGAATTGAAAATTTCATGTGGCTGCCACTTTTGAGAAATGATTTCTAAATCTTAATTGTATTGAATACCTAATTTGTCTTATTATCTAGTTAGGTACCAAAATACTTAATACACTGCTGTGCTTTCTAAAGATACTAGTCGAAAACTACAGCGGAGACACAGCAGAGTACACTACTTTTTCTTTACATAGTTCAAATCAAAGACAAATTTGTATAGTGTACAATAGAAGAATACAACAGCTTTCTCCTTTACTTTTGATCATACAACACGTTTGTTTACCGTAACGTCTTTAACTACTTCATCGACAACCTTGAAATCTCAATTGCTTTAGAATAGACTACACCCTAAATAATTTACGAACTACTCACGCCTTGACGGGTAAGTCGTACCTTGTATGGTACTCGTATGGAATTCGAATATACCACATACTTAATAAAAACTAGATGATGACCGAGCATTGCTCGTTTTTTTTTTTTAAAACGCCATCTTGTTGTGTCTCTAGAGCGGTTAATTGCCCTCAATTAAAAAAAAAAAGTATTATTATTCGCCGATAGATGTCGGGAAGAGTTGATTATTGAAAACATGAATAAAACAACATTTTCTGAAAATAAATCGTAGCTAGATCGATTTATCGCCCCCGAAATCCCCTGTATACTAAATTTTATGAAAATCGTTGGAGCCGTTTCCGAGATTCAGATTATATATATATATATTAATATACAAGAATTGCTCGTTTAAAGGTATAAGATATATTATCACAAATTTCTTTTCATGATGAAGAAAATTGTGTGATAAAAATCGAAATTGTTAGCTCGCACAGGTATCTCTGGAGTTATACTACGAAAATTTGTCACGTTTTGTATTGCGATGGCTGGGACAGCTGTGTGCTCAGCCTAGCGGCAAACGTAGGGGCTCTGTTCAAACTCCATACAAATTTGAGTTAACTTTTACTAGATCGAGAAGTTAAAAAACTCGCACTAAACACACTTATGTGGCCGTGGGTCTCAGGCGGTGCCGTTTGGGTTGTGATATCTATGGGCTTGGTGAACCAGACGAGCCTTGAAATCCCCCAAAGGCAACAAATAAATACTAAACCAGCCACTTTGATATTTATTTCATTTAGAAAAAAAAAGTAACGATTTTTTTATACCTTAGATTGGTGGACGAGCTCACAGCTCACCTGGTGTTAAGTGGTTACTGGATCTCATCGACATCTACAATGTAAATGCCGCCACCCACCTAGAGAGTTCTAAGGTCTCAGTATAGTTACAACGGCTGCCCCACCCTTCAAACCGAAACGCATTACTGCTTCACGAAAGAAATAGGCACCACCCTGCCTATTCGGGTACCTACTCGGGCGGACTCAAAAGAGGTCCTAATAAGAGGTAAGAACCAGTATCTGCTACTTAAAAAAACAAATTAGTTTGAATAATAGTTTATTTTGTTTCATTATCACAGTTCAAAATATGTAACAAATTCGTGTTTCATTGTAATCGTTGTTCACTTGAATATCAATTAATACTACATAAAACTACTACATTCGCTGGCGAAAATTACATCAAAGTTGCAGTTTTTCATGAAATTTACGAAAAAATGCAAATTTTATTTTTCAGAACATTGATGCAAATGCAGTGTCGTTACTAAAATTACTTATTGCTTAAAAACTATTGTGGTACATTAAAATAGCTTGAATTTGAGATACAATTAGACTAATCGTCAATATGAATAAACTAATAAACTTCTAACAATTTACACTAATAATAAAATACCGTGTACATCAAAGTTTAGACTAAGATTAAATTAATGAAAAAAAAAACAACTAAACTTTAAGTTACAATAAATAATAGGCTTTTTCTAATTTTATTTACCTAAATTCCAGTAAACTGGATTTTTATTGCACTAATTCATGAAATATACGTATTTGTTTATATAAAACAAAACAGCGTGTTGAAATTCTGAAAGAATATAATAGTTCACAATATTACGAAATGTTTTTTTTTAAATAAAATATCGTGTATCAAAATTATCTAAACATTTGCTGTTAAACTACGACCAAATAGTAACTAATAAGCTGGTAAAAACTTCAAAGTTTTGGTCTTCTTTGAAACTTATGAATATTTGTACATGCCGGTCTCCTTGCGCATTCGCACTGAAAAAAAAAACAAGACATTAAAGTTAATTTGCAATTTCTTAATGCACTGAAAATGAATATATAGAAAATAGTTTTCTTTTAATAATACTCACTTTCGACAAAGCATATCGCTGCCAGTATACACGCAGAGAACAATATAGTCATCGTTATCACAAGGACGGTTATCTGGTGCGAGTGATTACAACAGCAGGATTTGTTCTCCTTGTTCGGACATTGCTTCGTATAACCATTTACAACTGTGAAGTGAGTTGAACTAGCTATAGAAGTGGCGTCTTGATCGCGCGAGCATTCCGTCTTCACGCCACTCCAAATGGATTCGTTGTGATCGTGTGGCTCCTCGGGAATCGCGACCACTGCTTCTGGAAGAGCGAACTTGCGTTCATAGCCGCCAAACTTGCTATGATATGGACCCAGCTCCTCAGTGTTGCTGCTCCGTCCACTCATGCGTGCCAAGTGAGCCGCGCTGAGTAACAATGAACCCGACGAAACGCTCTGAAACAGTGCAAGTAATTTTCAAATGATACCTAAAGGCCACATGTTATTTATTAGCAGGGGAGGACTTTTAAGAGGCTAAAAATTTTACAATAAAAAATATATATAATTTATAAATTGACATTAAATTTATGACCTGAGACGGTAACTTGGTTCGACCACCTCACTAGTTCGAAAGTGCCTAAATTTTTGCACCTTAAATAAAAAGAATCGGAAATGCCTAAAAAATCGCATTAGAAAAAGAATGGGTTTATGCATGCAAATGACAGTATTGTATCTGTACTGGATTGTGTCGTAAACATCCATGTGAATCCTGAACCGGACTCTGTAATACCAGTCAGTTCATTGATCTCGTCAATTAAGAAAATTAACGAATACTATGACAAAAACTATTCAAAATGATGCAAACAAAAAAAATACAATTATGTATTAAATTAATCAATTAGAGGACGTCATTTGCAAAGTCAATCAAGCACCAAATTTACATCAACTTGGGCGGAGCGAAGTTCACTTTTTGCCTATAACCAATAAATCTTGTACAACAAAAAAGTTTATTGTATGTTTTTTGATCAAATGCTGGATCCGGCTAATTTACGTAGTGCCCTAATGTGTTAAACCAGTAATGTTACTACGATGCATTAATTAAAGCGGAAACGTATATAGATGCTTATTATTTTTGTGACGCACAAATCAAAAGGTCATCTTACGTGGGTGCTATGGTTGCTAGAAGAGCCTTGGCTGGAGGCGGAGCCGCCACGAGATCGTGAATCGTTGATGCTACCGGATCCGCTACTGCTCGATAAAGAGGGGCGAGGAATATGCCATTCATGCGTCGACGGAATCTGTAACAATATTGTATTAATTTCCAACTGACTTAACGCACAATATATTATTTACAAGTCATGTTTAACCATGTTTAATGTGCTATTTAAGCAAAAGAAAATCGAGATAATGCCAAATAAACATGTTTAGTTTGAATTCACGTGGATAAGTGGATGAGCTTACGGCTCATCTGAAATGAAACGGTAAAGTAATTAGCTCACTCTCAATTATAGATATTTACATAACTATTGGCACAAAATTACTTATATGCAGAAATAAATATAGTTGTGCTAGAAATTGTGGGCTCGTAACAGGACTTATTGAATAAAAGAGTAATTAACATTATGAACTTCCACAAAGGTACTCAAAACTTATCCCCAAAAAAATAATAGAAAATAAGACAAGCACTGTGTTCTAGATAACAGAACTCAAAACACTTTCAATCGTCCTGCTCAAAAAACTAGTACATTGATTGATTAAATAAAAGTTGCATTGGACGTGTTAAGATTGTCTCGTCTCGTGGTTTAACCCACTTTCTATTCGTCATATCGAAGACGCGTACCTTAAATCTAGCTCTTAAGATTTTAATGATAAAAATCAGTTAAACATGCACACACACACACAAGTATATACGAGTATACATGGGTATTTTTTAAATAATAATTTGGAAAGTGTTCCAATTTAAGCCTTGGCCTTGAAAGGTCTCCCTTTATTGTTGTTTTAGTGAAGCTAAAAATTTCGATCGCTTTGTTGATAGATCGCGATTCATACGCATTCAATCCTTTTACAATTAATTGCAATGCGCCTAGTATGTCTTTGTTAGTCTTTGTTTTATACGCGATTGTACAATCACGTGGTTCTTTGATTGTTTACGTGTTTACCGTTTAAAAATAATTAGGCTTTGATAGAAATTGTTTTTATTTGTATGTTCGTTAGGGTTACGATTGCTTTAACGCTTTTTGGGAAACCGACTAAGGAATCTATAAATTAAAATTGGGTGCATATCATTAGGAAATGCAAAATTCATGTAAATGTTAGAAATTTTGCACGGAAATCGTGGCAAACCTCTTCCTTGTCGCCTCTTAAATTTGCAGAGGTGCCGCCGTTCCGTGTCGTCTTGTCTCCCTTTCAATTTCAACACAGTCACTTTTATGCAACCAACGTGATCTATCGCTGTTGTGGTTCATGGCAATAGAATTAAAATAAATGAATTTTATAAAAAAACTCTTAGTTTTTCCATACATTCTTTTTAAGGGAAATTTATACATTAATAGGGAACACGTTTCAGTTACATCAATGACGTTTTAGGTCAAGTTTTGTTCGGAGTCCGATCGATTTTGTCAGATACGGTGCTCAAGGTTCGTGTTCTCTTTATTTGCGGTCTCGTTTCGTCGGCCTCTGATGCAATAAATCTTAGCTTTGCTTTCGGCTTCATGGTCCTCTTTGTTACTTTGATAACGTGATGGATAAGCGTTTTAGGCAGTCGGTATCATTAATGCATTTTACTTTTATAGTAGCGCCGCGAGGTCAATTTGATATTTTGTTTTAGACGATGCCGTTACGAGAATTACGAAATACGAATCGCAAGGTTGAATTTTAATTTATTTAATACGTTCCGAGTTTGCGTTGACCTATGCTGGTATTATTTTACGGACACGCTGGATGCTGGGGGACAGTATATAAATAATGCAATCGGTACAACGTCCTAACATGGCATACATTGCGAAATGTTTCGGCGAGTGCAAAGAACCGGTTCCGGGGTTCGCATTGCTGCTTGGAGTAAGTAATGCCTTGGCAACGTCGTGTGCCGGCAATATATGCTAATACTTTCATTATTTATCACAATTTTATAAGATAATTGAAGTTTTTTTTTGTAAAAATTATTTAATTATATTTAATACTGGCTGACCCGGCAGACTTCGTAGTGCCTCAATCGATAAATAAAAGACCTAAACTTTTGTATAAAATAAACTTAAAATAAAGAAAAGGAATCCGTCCGACGGGGGACACATCATAGGGAAAACAAAATTGTTATTTTTATTTCATTCCGATATTTTCATATTTATCTACCTTTTAAACCTTCTCTGGACTTCCACAAATAATTCAAGACCAAAATTAGCCAAATCGGTCCAGCCGATCTCGAGTTTTAGCGAGACTAACGAACACCAATTCATTTTTATATATATAGATTTGTTGGCAATTGCCAAAATTTGAGTGTGGTTTGCGCCGGTACATGTTAAGATTTAGGAAAAATTATTTCTATCATTATTTCTTCTATCATATTTATATCATTTCAGAGAACAAAAGCATTTTCCAGTATAATCACAGTTTTAACGTAATTAATTTTCTTCTTATTTCTAGCGTTTTCCCGGTTTAGTGACAGGGTCTGCTTTTCCACTTAAAATCCCCAAATTTATTATATATCGAGGAGTGAAAGGCTTTTTGGTTTAAACGACATTTTTGCAACCTTACAGAAGAGTCATTTAAAGTTTAAAATTGGGAAAAAATATAACAAAAAACTTCTTCAAGTGTTTGAATGAAGTAAACTTAATTGTAGTTCAATTAAAAACATCAAACTGTTGATGCTAATTCCAAATAAAACGCACCTTTAATTACATAGATAAATGTCGCATATTAAGAGAAATGCCGCTTAAACCAAACAGCCTTTCACCCCCACGATATATTTTATAATTATACGTAATTAATTTTAACAGATGATTTTTTTATCAAGCTATCTATCAAGCGATATTTAGATCCAGTAGTGAGTGATTGAGTGATTCAAATAGTACCCGATTTGTCTTAATTCCGATTAAAGATTAATGTACATGAAACCTACGAATAAATAATATATTTGTTAGTTACACCTGTGCCGCCAATTTTTTTAATTTTTTTATTGCTTAGTTGGGTGGACGAGCTCACAGCCCACCTGGTGTTAAGTGGTTACTGGAGCCCATAGACATCCACAACGTAAATGCGCCACCCACCTTGAGATACAAGTTCTAAGGTCTCAAGTATAGTTACAACGGCTGCCCCACCCTTCAAACCGAAACGCATTACTGCTTCACGGCAGAAATAGGCAGGGTGGTGGTACTCACCCGCGCGGACTCACAAGAGGTCCTACCACCAGAGATCTGTCATCTTATTATCACAATACCCATCCATGCTAGCTCATAATATGTTCATCTAGTTTTCATATCAGTAGATATTCCGTTTAAGTTCACTCATTAAGACAATTCGTTTAAAGGTATAAGATTAAACCAAACAAGCGCCTCAGACAAATTAGAGTCTAAAAAAAAAATTCAAAAAAATTAACACGCCTTCAATTTCCAGATTATATGATAAAAATGCCTGAATTGCATTGGTGGAATTGGAAAGACTTAGCTCTAGCGAGAGTCGAGACTCCCTATAACTTCCACGATGACTCGTATCTCAAGTACTGCTCGTATAAGCCAAACTTGATAAAGATTAATTATAATCCAGAATTCTTGACGCCGGGAACTGATGTTGTGGCTCTGGGTTGGGGTACCACTAAATATTATAGACCGGTAAATATTTATAGCTAATTTATGGCTATTAATAGCTAATTCTTTAAAATAAAACAAGATTGGAATCGGTGATAACACTTTGTGCTTGGTTCAAATTCCATAGACACAGCCCACTGAGTTTCTCGCCAGATCTTCTCAGTGAGATTCCGACCCGATGGTAAATTCTCTGAGGCCTTTCATGCTAGGGTCAGTGTCAGGAAATCATCTCAAGTTGGGCATGGGAATAGTCTTTTAGGCTACCAGTAAATGAGTAGGGAATTAAATAAATTGATTCAAAGTCACTGAGTTAGGAAATCCTAGGTATGTCCTTAATCAATTTAATTAAGCTAAGTTCAGAGTTGATTCGGTTGTAATGACAACTCTTTGGAATCTAATGAATATTGCAGAAAGGCGCGGGAAATTTAAAAATGGATATCCACAAAACACAATTTTTAGAGTCCGAACTAAACCTAGTCCTTGACCTTTTGCTAGTTTGATCGTCAATATCCTTTATTTCTATTTATTTCACTACTAAGAATTCAGAATCCACTTGCCGCTTGAACACGCCATCCAAGAATCTTACCACTGGAGAGGAATTTTCAATGGATTACGATTTTGTATTTTCTAGTACAAACTGTAATTACGGCAGTAATAATTGTTTTGCGATATAAGGATGATTTTCCAAAAGCACACATCGTCTGGTTTTTTAAGTGCCATTAACTCAATGCTTTCATTAAAGACCAATTGGTTCTCTAAATCTGGGATAATAATAACGATACAATATCGCAAAATTCAAATTACAAATACAATCTAGTTACATAACTTTACTGTCATTAAATCAGATAGGATAACTTCAGCCTATTGAAATGGAAATTGGGTTGAAATATTCAGAAGTCCTATTTCCTCTATTAATTTCTTGTCAAATTTCTATTAACCTTCCAATTACTTTTCCCTGTTTGAATACACTCGTGAAGAACTTAAGCTGAACAATGATATAACTAACGTTATAAAGTAAAAGAGATTTCAATACGACATAGTATTTACTGGAGGTGTGGTAAGTGTGGAATAAAAGGGAAGGTGGTGGAATAAATTGCATGTGCTAGCGCTATCTTAGACGCCATTGTCCACCACAAACACTGATTGGGCAGGAAATTGGATACTCGGTCATAAAAGTGGCGGTGTAACCGCTTACTGGCTTCAACTTCCTTCCACAGACTAACAACTAGGTGACTCAAAGTTTGAGCATAAAAATTCTGAGAATCACATTAGTATCATATCTGTATTTGTTACTAGCGACCCGCCCTCGCTTCGCTTCGGAAACATTAAAACACACATGAAACCAAAAAAATAAAAAAAAAAAATAATAATAAAAAGTAGCCTATGTTCATCAGGGACAATGTCGGCTTCTAATGGAAAAAGAATTTTTCAAATCGGTCCAGTAGTTTCGGAGCCTATTCGAAACAAACAAACAAACAAATCTTTCCTCTTTATAATATTATATTATTATTTGTTATACAAAATCATAACGG